GCCCAAAGTGCTGGGATTGTAGGTGTGAGTTACGGTGCCCAGCCAGGGCTCTCTCTTTTTTTTTTTTTTTTTTTTTAATTGAGACACTTGCTCTGTTGCCCAGATTGGAGTGCAGTCGCACAATGTCAGCTCATTGCAGCCTCCGTCCCCTGGGTTCAAGGGATTCTCCTGCCTCAACCTTCTGAGTAGCTAGGACTACAGGCACGCGACTCCATGCCTGGCTAATTTTTGTATTTTTAGTAGAGACAGAATTTCACCAGATTGGCCAGGCTGGCCTCGAACTCATGACTTTCAGTGATCCACCCACCTCGGCCTCCCAAAGTGCTGGGGTTATAGGCGTAAGCCACCACATCCAGCCAGGACTCTGTTTCTTAATGTTTTCCAACCATTTATTGAACTGAATTGAATTTCACTCACTCTGCCAAGAATCCGCTGTCTGACCTTGGCCAAATCCCTTCACAGACAACTGTCCCACAGGGTCTTCTTTACACTTAGCTGGCGTGAGCCCATTGTTTGTTGAATGGAGACCTGCAGCTGCCTGTCATGGAAAGTTGGAGGGTGACTCTCCCCAGCTCCAGCATCTGCAGGAGTCTGTGCCCTCAGACTGCTGACATGACCATAGTTATCCATGCTTCTCCAAATGCTTGGTTCCAGGGGGCTTACTACAGCCTGTTTCTCTCCAGAATGACCCAAACCCCTCCCTGGACTCTCAGCCACAAAGGGGAAATTAACAGAAACATAAAAAGTTAAGCAGGTGAGAGAACATTATCACTCTTGTCAACAATAAAATCTGATGCTGATCTTCAGTTGTGCGGACAGGTGCATCTACTATTTATGGAATACAGATTGTTAAATATTAAATACTTGAGCCTGGGATAGTGTGAGGGTAAAACCAGGAGTGTGAACCTGTCACAATCGTAAAAATGGTAATTCTTTGCAAGGGTGAAGTGCACCTACATTCATTACTGCTTTTATTGCACTATAAATTAAGAGGGGAAGCCCATGATGTGTCAATTTCAAGTTCTAAGTGATAGGCATTATCGTTGGGGTGGCATCTGTCTGTACCTAGCTCTGTGTCACAAACAGTTCCTAGATAACTTGCCTAGAACTATGAACTATTTCATCTGGGAAGGTGGTAAGAGAGAAGGTTTTCTTCCTTATTCACCATGTGACGGAATGGCAAGCAAGTCAAACATTTGGTGAACTGGTAATTTTTCTTGTAGTTACTTGCACATATGTCCAAAGGTTTGTGTTGATGAAGGCAAAAATAATTCTTAAAAATCTTAAAAGTCAAGGCTGGGTGCGATGGTTCAGACACCTGTAATCCCAGCACTTTGGGAGACCGAGGAGGGTGGATCACCTGAGGTCAGGAGTTTGAGACCAGCCTGGCCAACATAGTGAAACCCCCGTTTCTGCTAAAAATACAAAAATTAGCAGGTGTGGCAGTACATACCTGTAATTCCAGCTATTTGGGAGGCTGAGGCAGGAGAATCGCTTGAACCCAGGAAGAAGAGGTTGCAGCGAGCCAAGATTGAGCCACTACACTCCAGCCTGAGTGACGGTGAGATTTCATCTCAAAAAAAACTTAAAAGTCAAACATCTTTTTTTTTTTTGAGACTGAGTTTCACTCATGTTACCCGGGCTAGAGTACAGTGGCATGATCTTGGCTCACTGCAGCCTCTGTCTTCCAGGTTCAAGCAATTCTCCAGCCTCAACCTCCCAAGTAGCTGGGATTACAGGCACCCACCACCATGCCCAGCTAATTTTTTGTATGTTTAGTAGAGATGGGGTTTCACCATGTTAGCCAGCATGGTCTCTAATGCCTGACCTCAGGTGATCCACCCACCTTGGCCTCCCAAAGTGCTGGGATTACAGGCATGAGCCACCACACCCAGACTCATCGTAATTTTTTTTTTTTTTTTTTGAGACAGAGCCTCTCTCTGTCACCAGGCTAGAGTGTAGTGGCACGATCTTGGCTCACCGCAACCTCCACCTTCCAGGTTCAAGTGATCCTCCTGCCTCAGCCTCCCAAGTAGTTGGGACTACAGGCGGACGCCACCATGCCCAGCTAATTTCTGTATTTTTAGTAGAGACGGGGTTTCACTGTGTTGGCCAGGATGGTCTCGATCTCTTGACCTCGTGATCCATCCACCTCAGCCTCCCAAAGTGCTGGGATTACAGGTATGAGCCACTGAGCCTGGCCTCATCTTAATTTTTATATGATTTTGACATCCCTCAATTTACTCTAATTTATTTCCAGCCTGAATTTTTGATGCAAATCTAAAACTTAATCCACCACCATTTGCTTTTGGACATGAAGTGAGATACCACAAGATTTTTCAGTCTGCCCCTAAGGACTCATAGATGTAAGAACTTGATTTCTTGATTTACTCTTCATAATAAAATGATTTTTCCCTCTTCTTATAAATAAGATTTGCACATCCAATTTGTTGTTCCTTTTTAAAAAATGTGTTGAATTAAGTAAGCCAAAATAGTTCCAACGAAGCACCTGATTCAAACACAAATTCTATCCACTGGAATATGCAGCTTCGTGTTGAATCAGCACCCAGCCAAGATTATGCATTAAATCCTCTCCCTTAAAAACTTGTTGGTAGACTTATCAATATTTGGATTCACTTTAATGTTAAAGAAGTAAATCCTTAATTTTCCATTTTAGGTAGGGAAGGAAAACTACAACTTAATTGTATAGCAATTTAACCTTGATTATCCTTTTATCCGATTAAACCCTATACAATGATACCAAATTCAAAAATTAACCTTGGCTGCAGGATGGATAATTAGTCAAAACCAGGGAAAAGTCAGAAGAAATTAACAATGAAATAAATCCCTTCGTTTTATGTCACACCTCTCTCTTCTGGGCATTTTGAGGTGCATTTTCAATATGAGCCCATCACTTCTTCCAAATTCTGCTGAAGTTATATTCTGGAATGATCTAGGCTACTTTTAGAGATGGGCAAACTGAGGTAAGGCAAAATTCCATAATGGCAGGAGTAAAAGTCAGAAGAAGAAACGATTCAGGAAGAGGCTAACCAGGGAAGAGGGAAAAACCAGAGTTCAGAGGAGCTGAGATGACCGGCCCGAGGAGAAAGCAAGGCCTGGGGATAAGAGAGGATAGAGGGAAAATTGCTTTCAAAGAGCCGCTGGCAGCCAGGTATGGTGGTTCACGCCTCTAGTCCCAGAACTTTTGAAAGCAGAGGCGGGAGAGTGCCTTGAGCTCAGGAATTTGAGACCAGCCTGGGCAACATAGCCAGACCATGTCTCTACTAAAAATAAAAATATGAAAATTAGCCAGGTGTGGTGGTGTGAGCCTGTAGTCCCAGTTATACAGGAGGCTAACTCAGGGGGATTGCTTGAGTCCAGGAGGTCGAGGCTGTGGGGAACGATCATTATACCATTGCATTCCAGCCTGGGTGACAGATCAAGACCTGCCTCAAAAAAAAAAAAAAAGGGAGTGAGCAACCATCCATCCAGTTTAGATCAGGAAGGCAGAGCATGTTCAGAGAAAGATCTCTGGTGAAAAAAGGAGATTTAACAGAAGAGATGGAATAATTAAGAGCTTAAAAACAATTAAGGATTCACACAAGTCATGCAAGAAAAAAGGAAAAGAAAGGCGATTAGACACTCTAGGAAAAACAAGCATATAAAAGAAATAATGGCCCACAATGAAGCAAATGAAATGTGTCACAATGTTAAGCTATTGGTGGAATATGGCAATTTTTTTTTTCACATTTGGAAAAATGGCATAGAGCATACTACCAGGCCAGCCAGACAACAAACGCCTCTGAGAATGGCTTCATCACGGGAAGCCGCTCACGGGTTAACTTTTTTTTTTTTTTTTTTTTGAGTCTTGCTCTGTGGCCCAGGCTGGAGTGTAGTGGAATGATCTTGGCTCACCACAACCTCTGCCTCCTTGGTTCAAGCAATTCTCCTGCCTCAGCCTCCTGAGTAGGTGGGATTACAGGCATGTGCCACCATACCCAGCTAATTTTTGTATTTTTTTGTAGAGGCAGGGTTTCACCCTGTTGGTCAGGCTGGTCTCGAACTCCTGACCTCGTGATCCGCCCGCCTCAGCATCCCAAAGTGCTGGGATTACAGGCGTGAGCCACCGCAACCGGACTGGTTTCTAACTTTTAAAGTCAAGCTGCAGACACTGCATTCAAGACTTGGTTGTATTGGCAAAGCAGAATGCAAATGTTAACGAATACTAACAAGTGAAAAAGTTAAAAAGTGAAACTGATAGATGTTACAAGGAAAAGAGGGAAAAATGGAGGGTAAATATCCTTGTCTGACAAAGTGGAGGATCAAATGAAATTGTGGAAAGTGGATATACAACAAATCAAAATAGATACTTCTGCAGTTCATTAGCATGATGTAAGAAAACATTTCAAATGGTCCATTTTCGGCCAGGCACAGTGATTCATGCCAGTATTCCCAGCTACTCAGGAGACTGAGACAGAAGAATCTCTTGAACCTGGGAGGCAGAGGTGGCAGTGAGCTAAGATTTTGCCAAGGCACTCCAGCCTGGGCAACAAGAGTGAAACTCCGTCTGAAAAATAAATAAATGGTCCATTTTCAAGGCATGATAAATCTGGCAGGCAGCCTGCAGATGTAACAAACGTCACGGCTCACGCACCTAGAAGGTCACAATAAGCCAACAGAATGCAGAGGAGGGGTCAGCCCATAAAAGGGAAGAAAGTTCCATTATTTGGAAATAAAAACTTAAGCAGGGAAGGGCACCTGGGTATAATCTTATAAGGGGAATATTGAAGCTTAGGCAACATTGGGGAAGATTATAACCCCATAGTACTCGACCGATGAGCAACTGGGGAAGGGACTAGCGTTCTAGGAGGTAAATTATCTGCTGTAGCTGCCCTGGCTGTGCTGCCGACCAGACAGACACCCGATCTCTCAAGACTGCCATTAAAATCTCACTTCCGCTGTTCTTCGTGTCTCCGAGTCAGTTCTTTGGGTTTGGACGAGTGAGTATGTGTTTCTTACACATGATTAGGTTTTCACGAGCATGTTTGAGAGTGCCTCCCTCAAAACGTGTTACAACATCAGCACATTACCCATCTGACGTGAAATAAAGAAAAATAGAATAAAAAATCAAAATACAAGCCTACTAAAGGTTAGAAAAGTGATGGATAGAATAATTTAAGTATTGTAACAATATGAACATCAAACATTAAGAGAAGGAGGGAAACTCAAGAAAGGATTCAAGAAGGAATAGAAAATCTGGCCAGGCGCAGGGACTCACGCCTGTAATCCCAGCATTTTGGGAGGCCAAGGCAGGCAGATCACTGGAGGCCAGGAGTTTGACACCAGCTGGACAACATAGTGAGACCCTATGTCTACTAAAAAGACAAAAAAATTAGCCAGGCATGATAGTACATGCCTGTAATCCCAGCTACTTCAAAAGCTGAGGCAAGAGAATCTGGAACCCAGGAGGTGGAGGTTGCAATTAGCCAAGACTGCACCACTGCACTCCCGCCTGGGTGACAGAGCAAGACTCTGTCTCAGAAAAGAAGAGGAGGAGGAGGAAGGAGGAAGGAGGAGGAAGAGGGGAAGGAGGAAGGCAGAAGAGGAGAAGGAGGAGGAAGGAGAAGGAGGAGGAGGAGGAGGAGGAATAGAGAATCTGAATACACCTATAACAAGTAAGCAAATTGAGTTAGTAATCAAAAACCTTCCTACACACACACACACACACACACACACACACACACACACACACACACACAAGCCCAGGCCTAGAATTCACTGGTGAATTCTACCTAATGTTTAAAGAAGAATTAATTCTTCACAAACTCTTCCAAAAATTAAAGCAGGAGGGCATACTTCTCAGCATATTCCCTGAGACCAGCATTCCCTAGTATCAAAACCACACAAAGGCATCACAAGAAACTCACACACCAATAGCCCTTATGAAGATAGACAAAAAACTTGACAAACTAGCCAACTGAATCCAGCAAATACTAGCAAATCAAATACTAGCAAATTGAATCCATATAAAAAAGATTACAGACCAGGCGCGGTGGCTCCTGCCTGTAATCCCAGCACTTTGGGAGGCTGAGGCAGGTGGATCACCTGAGGTCAGGAGTTCGAGACCAGCCTGGACAACATGGTAAAACCCCTCTCTACTAAAAATACAAAAATTAGCCAGGTGGGGTGGTGGGTGCCTATAATTCCAGTTACTTGGGAAGCTGAGGCAAGAGAATGGCTTGAACCCAGGCGGCAGAGGTTGCAGTGACCTGAGATCATGCCACTGCACTCCAGCCTGGGTGATAAAGTAAGACTCCATCGCTTGAGTCCAGGAGTTCAAAACCAGCATGAGCAACATAGCACGACCTTGTCTCTACAAAAAACACTTTTAAATTAGCGGGGTGTGGTGGTACATGCCTGTAGTCCCAGCTACTCAGAAGGCTGAGGCAGGAGGATTGCTTGAGCACAAGAATTGTAGACTGCAGTGAGCTATGATTGGCCACTGCACTCCAGCCTGGAGGAGACAGCAAGCCCCTCTATGAAAAAAAAATAGCAAGCAAGAAAGAAATTAGCATTTTAAATAAATGGAATCTATATTCATGGATTGGAAGACAATACTGTTAAGATGCCAACTCCCCATACTGTTCCACAGATTGGGCACAATCCCTATCAGAGAGCTAAATGTAAGACCAAAGACCATACAAATCTTAGAAGAAAACAGAGGAATAAAAAATCTTCATGACCTTGGATTAGGCAATAATTTCTTAGACATATCTCGAAAAGTGCAAATGACGAAAAAATAAACTGAACTTCATCAAAAATGTAAACTTTGATGATGTAAAGGACGCCATTCAAGAAAATAAGAAAGATAACTCACAGAGTGAGAGAAAATATATGCAATCATATATCTGCAAGGGTCTAGTATCCAAAATATATAAACAATCCTTACAACTCAACAATAAACAGGCAATCTAATTTAAAAATGAATAAAAGGCTTGTATAGATATTTCTCCAAAGAAAATATATAAATGACCATAAGCTCATGAAAAAATAAACTCAAAATAATTAATAATTAGGGATATATGCAAATCAAAACCACAATTAGACACCACTTCACATCCATCAGGATGGCTTTCAGAAGAAAGATAGCCAGGTGTGGTGGCTCGTGCCTGCAATCCCAGCACTCTGGGAGGCCAAAGCAGGAGGGTCGCTTGAGCCCAGGAGTTTAAGACAAGCCTGGGCAACATAGCAAAACCTTGTCTCTACAAAAAAATTTTTTTTTTATTAACCAGGTATGGCGTCATGCACTTGTGGTGCCAGCTACTCAGGAGGGAGGTTGAGGTGGGAGGATTGCTTGGGCCCAAGAGGTTGAGGGCAGTGAGCCATGATCATGCCACTGCACCTCAGCCTAGGCAACAGAGTGAGACGTTATCTCAAAAGAAGAAGGAGAAGGAGAAGAAGGAGGAGGAGGAGGAAGAGGAGAAGAGGAGAGTATTGATGAGGATGCCAGGGGTTGAGAAGCAGGAATAATAAGAGTTCTTGGTAATGAAGATAGGGGTTTCTTTTTTGCAGAGACAAAAATGTTCTGGTTTTGGAGAATGGAGCACAGTGGATTTAGAGATGACTGCACAACTTTGTGAATGTGTGTACTAAAAACCAATGAATGATATACTTTAACAGAGTGAATTTTATGACATGTGAATTATATCTCATTAAAGCAGTGATGAAAAATAAAAAGAGAGAAAAGGGCAGAGAGAAAAGAAGTGGAATGTTTGAGCTCAATCCTCATCTTCCTATTTAGGAGTCAGAAGGTATGGCCCAAAATTGATAAATCAAATTAGAGAGGCATATTAGTCTGTTTTCACACTGCTATAAAGATACTACCCAAGACGGGGTAATTTATAGAGGAAATAGATGTAATTGGCTCACAGTTCTGCATGAGTGGGGAGGCCTCAGGAAACTTACCATCATGGTGGAAGGGGAAACAGGCATGTTTTACATGGCAGCTGGAGAGACAGAGAGAAAGTGAAGTGAAAAAAGCCCATTATAAACCCATCAGATCTTGTGAGAACTCACTCATTATCATGAGAACAGCATGGGGAACAATCCCCATGATACAATCACCTCCCTCCTTTGACACGTGGGGGTTACAGTTCCCTCCCTCCACATGTGGGAATTACAACTGAAGATGAGATTTGGGTAGGGACACAGAACCAAACCATATCAAAAGGTATGATCATAGAACAGCAGAGGAAATTCCAGAAGAATTAAAGCAAGAAGCAGTTAAAATTGCTTTGGGGACTCGGATGAGAATGCCGCTTTTCAACATTATTATCTTTCTACTTTTTTTTCACTTGCCATTATGTGTATATTATTTTGATACATCAATCTACAATAATCAAAATGGTCAGAATCTGGTTTAAAGGGAGTTGATTCAAGCATAAAGTTTGAAGATGAGCTGCCTGGGAAGCACAGATTCCAAAGAATGGAAGTCAGTGCTCCCGAGAGTGGAAGTTTGCGATTGTTTATATAGACAAAGTTTAGAGAAGTCTAGCAGAATTGCAACATCTTTCTACAGAAGGTTTAATGCAAAGTTACAATGATCTGCTTAGTTGAGGCAGTCTTTTTCCTTTTGGGAAAGGTGTATCTGACCTTCCACACGAAAGATGTAACAGTCATGGGGTCTTTTGTGCCATCTGGTCTAAGTTAGGCACAGGACAGTAAAGGAGGCAGTTCATCTATAACAAAGATCAGTGACTGGAAGGGAAAAGATTTGGTCTCTGGTCTCTCCCAGTCATTTACAAAACGAGAGCAATGAGGAAGAGACTTAAACTATAACCTAAGAAGCGGAAGTTGCAAACATGCTATGTGACAGTCTCCAGGGCTTAACTCCCCTTGGCATAATAAATTTAGATAGTCTTTAATGTTTTTTTTTTTATTTTACAGATTATATATATATATATATATATATATTCAAAATGTAAGCATACTTTCGAGGTTTTGTTTTTGTTTTTGTTTTTGAGACGGGATCTCACTCTGTCACTCTGGCTGGAGTATAGTGGTGTGATCTCGGCTCACTGCAACCTCTACCTCCCAGCCTTAAGTGATTCTCCTGCCTCAGCCTCCTGAGTAGCTGGAATTACAGGCACTGAGCCACCACCACCCAGCTAATTTTTGTGTTTTTAGCAGAGATGAGGGTTCACTATGTTGGCTAGGCTGGTCTCGAACTCCTGACCTCAAGTGATCTGTCCGCCTCGACCTCCCAAAGTGCTGGGGTTACAGGCATGAGCCACCCCACCTGGTCCAAAATGCAAGCATTTTTTCAAAGCTTCTAGAGCTTAAAGCCAGGACAGGGGAAGCTTTGAAAGGTACTCACGGGACATGGAGATGCAGCTTCGGACCCAGCCTCTTCCAGGAAACTGTCTGCACAGTGAAATCTTTTCTCAGCCCTATGCCTGCTGCTGTTCCCCCCGCTGCATCTCCTGCTGTGGCCAGATGACCCTGTCTGGGCTTGAGCAAGGGTAATGACTGATACAGACTTTTCTCAACCAGCTGAGAGATCAGAGAGTGACACTGTCAAAAACGGAACGGTGAAAAGAATTAACTGTAAGATTAATTAAATGTCATGCACTCAAAAACGCAGCAAGCCTGGAAGAGAACATGGTCCAAGGCTTCAACAGTCAGCACTCAACTCCCATGTACCTCTTAATTGTCGCCCCAAGAGTGAGTGTGCCAAGAAATTGGGGGTTCCTGCTGTCATCAGTATCACCTCCCCCAAGCTTCTATTGCTTTAATTCCAAACCGCTCCTCTCCCGGGTTGAATCCGTTGCTTAGCCAGCACACAGCTCAGACGGCTCTCCATTTGATCCAGTACTTGGGAAATTTAAGAAAAGAAAAAACAAAAAATGGTGTGTAAGGTAATTTTGTCCCAGATCTTTCCCTCTGAGTCATGAACATAATAGATTTGACGTTTTACGTTGTGTGCCCCCCTAAGAAGCATAAAAGAAAGGTTACCCTGGCAAGCAGCTAGAAAAGAGTTTAATTAATCCCAAAGTGTGTGCCTCGTTTGGAAAGCGCCTCACAAAAGAATCCTGTGTTTA